CTGTGCTAGGTTATTATTTGTTAAACTGATGTCGGTTTTATAGTGAGTTTTTCCTGTTTTGTATATTGATTGATTGATTGATTGATTTATACCCCACCCTCCCTGCCAAAGCAGGCTCAGGGACCTTCCTTCATTTTCTTCTTTTAAAAAAACAGTTTTTGCCATGTAAAAATACAAATAGACAGCTTCCATGTTCTAAATGGCAGCACAGAAAAGAGGAGGAAGCATTCCAGCCTGATGCTGACTCCTAACCAGTGCTCCCTCTAAGCTGAGTTGGTGTGAGCTAGCTCACAGTTCTTTAGCCTCCGGCTCACACATTTTTGTCTTGGCTCCGGAAGGACGGCTCCAGAGCAAACTAATTTATGCAGCAGCCAAATCGCTCACTCACAGCTTTCATGCCCGTAGCTCACAAAGTAGAATTTTTGCTCACCAGACTTCACAGCTTAGAGGGAGCACTGCTCCTTACTGGTAAACCTTGGCTTTTAAGGAGCCGGTGTCACCCCTGCATCGAGCCCTGCGGTTCCTTGGTTTTGGATCTGCTCTGGACTCCCATCTGCCTCTTCCTCCTACCCTCTCCGTTCCCAGGGGTGGCGCTGGCAGCCAGCAATGTTCTCTTTCAGATCTTTCTCCTCCCCAGGGCAGATGTCCTGTTTACACTTGCAGGTGCCCTTGGGCGTAGCGAGAACCAAACGAATTGTGTTAAATCTCCGATTCTTTGCACTCCTGCGCTGAAATCCCGCACCTACCCCCCAAGGGGGGTGGTGTTGGGGGGGGGGGGGGAGATGTAATTTATAATTGCTGTTAGCATTTCTGCTGCATTTCTGTGTACTGGTCCTTCCTTACACGCACGCAATTTCACAGGGACCTGCACAGGATTGTTGAATTGTGCCCAGAAACCTCAAACGTGTTATGTTTCTTATAGTCTGAGCCTTTCTTGCATTTCCCATATGGTTCGGCTACCTTCGGATGCCGCTTGAATCAAAGTGTCAGGTTTGAAATATATTAGAACAACTGTGCTGGAGGAACTAATTAGAGGCATCGTAGCAAGAAAGCTGGAAGATAAACGCTGCCGTGTTCGACCAGTGTAGTATTTCACCTGCTGCTTGGACAGTCCCATTTCCTCCTCACTCACCCCCAGCATTAGAATGCCGAAAGGCCCGCGTACATTACAGTTTTTGCACCCCAAACAACTGTGCTAGGCTTGAGAATTGCTTGCACTCCCTATAACCCAGATGAAATATGCTTGGGCATTAATGACATGGCCCTTTTTTATGATCGTCTGCCTCACAGGGTGTATGCTGTCTCAGGAGAAACGGCATCATTTTATTTTGTTGTCGCCATTAAAGGCAGATGTAAAGGGATGCCACCTGAATATTCAGTATCCCTGTGTGTTCGGGGCCAGGCATCTATTGCCTGGTGGAGATTGCAATGCTCACACGGGGGTGTTCGGCAGGGACGTGAACTGCAAATTGCACCTGCACTTTCGTGCACTGCAGAGTGCCTTTCCCGAAGAGGCATTAGCCACTCCACAGCGAATGCCGCCTCGAGGTAGAGTCAAAACAGGATTAAAGTCCTCCTTTTCCCATTCCAGTGATGGACTGTAATACCCAGTTTTAATTCAGTTGTTCTGGAGGCAGATGAAATACTCCGTAATATTTGCTGCTTAGAATAGTTTTTGCTGGTCAGGGGATGCAGTTGATAATGCTGTCACTGTCTGCTGGGATACCTCCTGCAGGGTTTGCAAGAAGAGAATCCCAGAGAGTCTTGAGTTCCCAGAGGCTGTTGATGTTCTTTTATGGTGCAAGTTCTTGGGATAGTCAGTGAGGCTTGGTTTCAGAGGGCAGCCGTGTTGGTCTACAGTGGAAGAGCTGGGTTCAAGTCCAGTAGCACCTTCGAGATCCACACGATTTTCAGGGTTTGAACCCCAAAAATCATGTTGTTCTCTAAGGTTCTACTGGACTTGAACTTAGAATGTACATAGCACATCTGATTGCTCCAGGTGCATCATGTTGGTCTCTGAGGTTCTACTGGACTTGAACTTAGAATATATGTAGCACATCTGTTTGCTCCAGGCAGATCATGTTGGTCTCTAAGATGCTACTGGACTTGAACTTAGAATATATATAGCACATCTGATTGCTCCAGGCAGATCATGTTGGTCTCTAAGATGCTACTGGACTTGAACTTAGAATATATATAGCACATCTGATTGCTCCAGGCAGATCATGTTGGTCTCTAAGATGCTACTGGACTTGAACTTAGAATATATATAGCACATCTGATTGCTCCAGGCAGATCATGTTGGTCTCTAAGATGCTACTGGACTTGAACTTAGAATATATATAGCACATCTGATTGCTCCAGGCAGATCATGTTGGTCTCTAAGATGCTACTGGACTTGAACTTAGAATATATATAGCACATCTGATTGCTCCAGGCAGATCATGTTGGTCTCTAAGATGCTACTGGACTTGAACTTAGAATATATATAGCACATCTGATTGCTCCAGGCAGATCATGTTGGTCTCTAAGATGCTACTGGACTTGAACTTAGAATATATATAGCACATCTGATTGCTCCAGGCAGATCATGTTGGTCTCTAAGATGCTACTGGACTTGAACTTAGAATATATATAGCACATCTGATTGCTCCAGGCAGATCATGTTGGTCTCTAAGATGCTACTGGACTTGAACTTAGAATATATATAGCACATCTGATTGCTCCAGGCAGATCATGTTGGTCTCTAAGATGCTACTGGACTTGAACTTAGAATATATATAGCACATCTGATTGCTCCAGGCAGATCATGTTGGTCTCTAAGATGCTACTGGACTTGAACTTAGAATATATATAGCACATCTGATTGCTCCAGGCAGATCATGTTGGTCTCTAAGATGCTACTGGACTTGAACTTAGAATATATATAGCACATCTGATTGCTCCAGGCAGATCATGTTGGTCTCTAAGATGCTACTGGACTTGAACTTAGAATATATATAGCACATCTGATTGCTCCAGGCAGATCATGTTGGTCTCTAAGATGCTACTGGACTTGAACTTAGAATATATATAGCACATCTGATTGCTCCAGGCAGATCATGTTGGTCTCTAAGATGCTACTGGACTTGAACTTAGAATATATATAGCACATCTGATTGCTCCAGGCAGATCATGTTGGTCTCTAAGATGCTACTGGACTTGAACTTAGAATATATATAGCACATCTGATTGCTCCAGGCAGATCATGTTGGTCTCTAAGATGCTACTGGACTTGAACTTAGAATATATATAGCACATCTGATTGCTCCAGGCAGATCATGTTGGTCTCTAAGATGCTACTGGACTTGAACTTAGAATATATATAGCACATCTGATTGCTCCAGGCAGATCATGTTGGTCTCTAAGATGCTACTGGACTTGAACTTAGAATATATATAGCACATCTGATTGCTCCAGGCAGATCATGTTGGTCTCTAAGATGCTACTGGACTTGAACTTAGAATATATATAGCACATCTGATTGCTCCAGGCAGATCATGTTGGTCTCTAAGATGCTACTGGACTTGAACTTAGAATATATATAGCACATCTGATTGCTCCAGGCAGATCATGTTGGTCTCTAAGATGCTACTGGACTTGAACTTAGAATATATATAGCACATCTGATTGCTCCAGGCAGATCATGTTGGTCTCTAAGATGCTACTGGACTTGAACTTAGAATATATATAGCACATCTGATTGCTCCAGGCAGATCATGTTGGTCTCTAAGATGCTACTGGACTTGAACTTAGAATATATATAGCACATCTGATTGCTCCAGGCAGATCATGTTGGTCTCTAAGATGCTACTGGACTTGAACTTAGAATATATATAGCACATCTGATTGCTCCAGGCAGATCATGTTGGTCTCTAAGGTTCTACTGGACTTGAACTTAGAATGTACGAAGCACATCTTATTGCTCCAGGTCAGGGGTGGCCAAACTTGCTTAACGTAACAGCCACATAGAACAAACGTCATATGTTTGAGAGTCGCAAGACATGAACAAATATTACACACATTTTTATTTTAAAATATGCAAATTTGCTTTTTATTAACATTAAATAAGACTGTGTGGAAGAGCCACATATGGCTCCCGAGCTGCAGTTTGGCCACCCCTGCTCCAGGTACATCATGTTGGTCTCTGAGGTTCTACTGGACTTGAACTTAGAACGTATGTAGCACATCTGCTTAGTCCAGATACATCATATTGGTCTCCAGGTTTCTACTGGACTTGAATTTGGAATGTATGTAGCACATCCGATAGCTCCAGGTACATCATGTTGGTCTCTTACCATGTCAGAATACACGGGGAAGCCATTGAAATTCATAAATATAAACACAATTTCAACAGGAAAGAAGAGAGTTTAAAAATAAATAGGGCATGGTTTCCTGTCCTGAAAAACACAAAATTCTCTTCATTCTACAACAGCACTACAGATAAGGTTATAATTTCAACAGCCAATCCATATGCAAAAGAACCTCCTCAGGAAAGCTCCTCCATTAGCATGTTTCACAGCCTGGGAAACTCCTACAAGATAATGACTCAGCCCTACCCCACCTTCCTGAGTAGATATAAATTACCTACCTACCATTTTCCTTCTCGCATTGACACAGAGAGTACTCCGTCTTTCTGCGTTATACCTGTGAGGATGCCAGTCACAGCTGCTGGCGAAACGTCAGGTACCCCAATGCCAAGACCACGGCCATACAGCCCGGAAAATCTACAACAGCTGTAATGAACTCGGGCCGTGAAAACCTTCGACAACACACCCTCAGAATTTGTCGTGAAACCACTCGATGTGGAAACAGTGTTACTGAAATGATGAAATCGCTGGAACGTAGAAGTGCATTAAAATCCGTTTATCTTTTTAGGCGTGTAAATGTTTGTTTTTGCGTGTTCTGACGCTTGAGTGAAAATACTGCCATTTAATCGATCGTTTTTATGACTTTCCCAGATGAAAAAGAAGAAGGGATCTTGGGAAGCATCCTTCTCCCCAGCTTCCAGGTAGCCATGCTTTCTTCTGAGGACCACATCAACCGCAAGTACGCCTTTAAGGTGAGGATCCTCAGGACTTAGGGTGATTCTTGGGCAGGAATGCACAGGAACGGAGTTCCGGCTGGCTCCCAAGTTGGTCATGCCCAGCAGGAACTCATTAGCATGATAGGCCACACCCAACAGCACGAACTCATTAGGATTGGCTACATTAGGGGTGTGTGGCCTAACATGCAAAGGAGTCCCTGCTACAAAAAAAGGCCCTGGGTTTTGACAACAAACAAGGTAAACAGAATAAGGAGCAAAAGGTGGTGGGTGTGGCTGGATGACCACACTTCTGGTAACATGTGGGTGCGGCCTAATGTGCTAATGAGCTGTGCTGTCAGGGGTGTGGCCCAATATGCTAATGAGTTCCTGCTGTTGGGTGTGGCCTATTATGCTAATGAGTTCCTGCTGGGCTTTTTCTACAAAAAGAGCCCTCTCAGGACTGTTGTCTTTGGTTCATCCGGAAGCCGTAATTGTGTGCGCACACATAATATGTCATGAGTGGTCATAATAGCATTGTCCGGAACTTATGCTGACGAGTTAGGTTGGTCAACGCAACCCCATCTTGGACTGATAAGAATTAACACCTAGAGCACCAGCACTTTGTTTATGATGACTGTTTTATTCTGTTTTTCGTTGTTCAGCCATGGCATATGCCTCTTTGTTAGCCGCCCTGAGCCCGTTTGGGGAGGGCGGGATATAAATCTAATAAATAAATAAATATTATTTATTATCAAATGTATACCCTGCCCACCCAGCCAAAGCCGGCTCAGGGCGGCTTACAAAAGGAATAAAACAACAAAGAGACAATTTAAATAATCCTAAAACCGCGTAAAACAGTTCAACTGTAAAAGGTGCTAACATTATAATACTAAGAAATTATCAGATGGCTAACTGAATTAAAAGGTGGTAGGCGGCCTTCGGTACTCCATCCTGGCGGGTCAGCCTGTAGATCTGATCTTTGTGCAGCTGGCACAGGCTGTTCTGATGTCTTCGGGGGCGGCTCCTAGATGAAGGCCTGGTGGAAGAGCTCCGTCTTGCAGGACCTGCAGAACTGCATGAAGTCCCGCAGGGCCCTAATTTATTTATTTATTTATTTATCAAACTTATACCCCGCCCTCCCCGCAAGCGGGCTCAGGGCGGCGTCCATAAAAACATAAATACATTAAAATACACAGTATTTGACCATACAATAAAACATTATAATACAAAGTGCTGGCGGCTGATTGAATTAATCTAGATGGTATATTACAGGAATAAATTTCCACTGCCCAGATGTTCCGCGATGTTTCTGCTCATAGTCAATTAGATGTTAAGACCACGGGCCAGGCTCTGCTATAGCGGCCTCTTCGGGGAGCTCATTCTACTAGATAGGAGCCGCCACCGAGAAAGCCCTGACCCTGGTTATGGCCAGCTTGGCATCCTTGGGACTGGGGAGGGTCAGTCGGTTTTGGGAAGTCAGAAACTCCCTCTGTAATGTATTTCCTTTAAAATTCATAGTGTGGCTGTTCAAAAACCCTCATCAGGTGAATTCCATCCCTTGAAGAGGCAGTTTGTAATGGTGTTAGTGTGCTGCCGTGAACACTGGTTGCATCTTCTACAGCCTCTGTTTAAAGATTCTGTGTTTCAGAGTCTGTGATTTTTTTTGGAGTTGGGAATAAGCAGTTCCTTTACTCTGTGTGGGTCAAGAAGGCGCTTTTGTATAAGGTTGCCAGCCTCCCGGTGGGGCCTGGAGATCTCCCACTATTACAGTTCATCTCCAAATGACAGACATCAGTTCCCGTAGAGATAATGGCTGCTTTGGAGGGTGGACTCAATGACATTATACCTTGTGGAAATTCCTCGCCTCCTCAAACCCTGGCCTCCCCAGGCTCCGCCCCCAAAATTTCCAGGTATTTCCCCACCTAGAGCTGGCAACTTTACCTGTGCTGGATTATTATAGAATCACAAGAAGAGGGGACCCGCGATACTCGCGGGGGGGGGGAGCTCCACGTGGAGGAGGAGGAGGAAGCAGCCACAGGTGAGCCTTCTCCCCCGTTCCCCCCGCCACACCAACAGCGAGGCCCACATGGCTCCCAGCTGACAGGCCCGCCAATACTTCTCCGCCTTCCTCGCCCCGGCAGCGAGCTGCACGGGCCCACCGAGCCTTCCCCCTGACTCCAGCAGCGCAGTCTGAGTGGCTCCCAGCCGCCAGGCTCACCGAGTCTCCCCCCCAACGGCCAGAGCGTTCTCTGTGCTTGCGCAGGGAATGCTCTTTTACTTTTGGGGGGATTTAAGTATCCCCCGTATATTTTTTCCAACTTTTTAGATTTTTCTGAACACCTGGAAACTGCTCCAAGTGTGCAGGAAAATCTCCCTGCCCCCCAAGTGCCCCCGATGTGCGGATTTAGATATCTGCACGGAGGGGGCAACTTGGCTATTAGATATATAGATAGAGTTGGAAGGTACCTCCAGGATCATCTAGGCCAACCCTCTGCACAATGCAGGAAATTCATAAATACCTCCCCCACACACAGTGACCACTGTTCCACACCCAGAAGATGACAAAAAGAAACTCCAGAATCTCCAGCCAAACTGGCCTGGAGAAAAACTGCTTCCTGACCCCAAAGTGGTGATCAGCATTTCCCTGGGTGTGTAAGAAAGGGCCACAAGAACGAAGCACTGAGGCAACCCTTCCTGCCCTCCCTCTCATGATCTGCCTCAGTTCACAATTATTGTTAATATTTGTCCCACTACTGCAGCCCTAAACGTGTCCACACATTTCTTCCTTCGTTTGTGTTACCAAATGAAAGAGATGCTGTGTCTTCTGCTTTTTCTTGTTGTGGAGGTTTTCTTTTTTTAAAATGACACTCTGAACGGATACAGCCTCTGCAGTGCTGGGAGCTTCCCCTTCCCTGAGTGAAGGGGACACGTGTTAGCAGGCAGTTCTATGTGTTCAGTTGTGCTGCAGTATCTCCAGAGCATTCTGTTAATTCTCTTGGCACCCTCCTCCTTCCTATCTTCCACATCTGCTGCCTGGAGCAGTTCAGCCGTTTAAATGGTGCCAGGTTAGCAGGGAATTTTGCAGGCCCATTTTCTCCCCTGAGAGCCAGTTTGGTGTAGTGGTTCAGTGCGCGGACTCTAATCTGGGAGAACCGGGTTTGATTCCCCACTCCTCCACTTCCAGCTGCTGGATGACCTTGGGCAAGCCATAGTTCTGTCAGAGCTCTCTCAGCCCCACCTACCTCACAGGGTGTCTGTTGTGGGGAGGGGAAGGGATGGGAATTTGTAAACTGCTCTGAGACTCCGAGTGAAGGGCGGGGTATAAATCCAATCTCTTTTCTATTCCAGGGCACTTCCTGCTATCCAGTTCTAGTTGGGCAGTTGCCCTCTTTATCTCTTATATTTATGAAGTTAGGTTACTCCCAAATTGCTTGCTTTGGGGTGTTTTTAACAAAACACATCTGTGCAGGAAGTGTTTGCTAATCTGGACAAGAACAGAAAAATTACCACCACCCTTAAGTTTATCCTTGAATCCTTGCTACGAGATTTATTGCTTCATGCACCCCGAATTAAGATGCCTCCTCTGGTTAAACATTCTTGCCTAACTTTGCCTTTTCTTTTCTCGGATTTGAACGTCTTTGGGCTGTTCTTGGTGACGGGCGAGCTAAACCACGCTGCAAGTTTTAATGGGTGAGTGCGTAATTTAAAACCCATTGTTGTGCTCTGACTATAAATATCCAAGCAAGTATATTTTTATACCCTGTATTGTCATAGATGCCTATAGCAAATTTTTATTCTGTAATTCATAGAAGTCACTTGGAAGCGCAGCAGGTGCACTGGGGAAGCAACGAGCCTTATAAATTTAATACTAATGTGTTTTCCTGAGTATAATTGCCACAAAAAGATGAGCATGATGTTGAATAACATTGTATTAGTTACTGTGTGATGAGTTTTAGCGGCAGCATGCATAAATTTCGATGCCCCCTGATTTACTGATTAAAGGAACCAGTAACATACTTTGATTCTCTCTCTCTCCCTCTCTCTCTCTCTCTTATAGATTGTTGTAACTCTTGTTTTTCCACAATGACCGTGTCATTTCCGATCAGGCAGCTCATCCAAACATGAGGACCTATTATTTCTGCACAGATACAGCGAAGGAAATGGAGTTATGGATGAAAGCCATGATAGATGCAGCGCTGGTACAGACAGAGCCCGTGAAAAGGTAACGCAGGTTGACAAACCCATACAACATCTGTCAGTTGATAGAGTACCAAGGCTTGATTGTATTTTCTTTAAGACTTCAAATATGAGCAGTGTCAGATTGGGTGGATTTTTGCTAGTATTGCCAAACAACTGTATTTTTTTTTGGGGGGGGGGGGAGGTTGGAGTTTTAAACAGGATTCCTGTTGTTCATTTTGCAAACCCACCGTGTTAGATGCATTTGATGTATCTCCCCCAGTTTTCTAGAGCACCACAACCTACCCCAGTGAAATGGGACTGCTGTGGGTCTCAGCTGAGATCCATTAGTTTGCAGTGGACTTGGGTTGGTGCAAGGCATTTCTTTGAGAGAATTTTCTGGGTATTCTCCCATTACAAAATCAGTACATTAACATTTCTCCATAACAAAGCTTCCACGGTTGTAGTTTGGCAATCTACCCACTCAACTGTTCCTTTCCTTTTTTAAAAATATCATGGGATCTTGGATTGTTAGGTAACTCAAGCTGTCTGTTGTTTTTTTTTGGGGGGGGGTCAACATTTGCACAAAGAAAAACATTAGTGGGGGGGGGCTAGGTTAACCTCCCCCATTATTTTTCTTTAAGTTTCTTGTTTTCGTGCAAACAAAACCTGCTGGTTACCCCAAGTTTGCATAAATGTATCCTCTTACTCCATGCCCCCCCCCCCGGTAGATTTTTTTTATCTGTGCCCAGGGGCTACTCAATGCCAAGTTGTGTTTGAATGCCATTAAAATCATTCTTTGAATGCTGTGGCCTTATTAAACCAGATTTAACCCCTTTCAAGGGTCCCAACCTGATCCCAAAAGAGTCAAGTCTAAAGAGAGTCCAAGATTTCAGGTTTTGCGGATAGAAGGAAAGTAATTCAGTAGGAAGGCATTTCTTGAACGTTTGCATTTCAAGCAGTCAGTGTCGGTTGTTCTGCTCAAATGGGAATTACATTATGCCGAAAATTGGGAGTCATTACATAGCTATGTTCTATGATGAGGGGTTGGATATCTAAACATAGTGCCTTAAAAAATGGGTTGGTTTTTTTTTAAAGTTGAGGCTCACTTCCCACTTTCATTGTGACCGTGAAGAGTAATCTGAAAATTTCTTGGTACAACATACTTCTAAGCATTTTTCAGATGACCTCTTTTGTTCCGAACTAGTCATTGGTGACTTCTTGCCTCTTCCGATTCTCTCCTGCAGCATAACATATCTATTCCGGATTTCCATCGCTTGAGTGATGAATATGCATAACATACGTTTAACCGAAGTTATTTTGCTTTAGAGACTTAATTATGAGTACTTTCTCCGAACTGTGTCTAGTAGTTTTTTTGCCGTAGGCAGACCCAGGTTTAATAATGTCCTGAGGGGGTCCACGGAGAATAATTAATCCTAACTGTTTTAAATAATCAAGAGCCCTCTTAAGCTTGCCACTCATACGATGAGACAAGCTCTCAGGTGGCTACATTTCTGACACATCCTAATTTAGTACACTCCAAACAGCGTGTGGGCTGTTCCAGATTGTTTAATGGTTTGAAATCTAAAAATACGCTGTTTTTCCTGTTGGAAGGAGAATTTTGAAAAACTTTTCTTTTTAAACTACAGTCGGCTTTGCCGTAGCCACTTTCAATCCTGTGCTAAAGAATCAACGCTATTGTACACTGACGACGTAATAAAAACCCTCTGCTCTTTCGTCCAAGTACTGGCAGTGGTTCCCCCCCCCCATGAATCCGTTGTTTGCTCCTCTGAAATCTGAATATGAATTGTTTTGACTGCAAACCTGCATTATTGTAGACATATATGTCGGTACCCGCCCACAGCCTATATTGTGGGGAGGGTAGGATATGATAAGTCTAGCAAAATAAATAAATAGAATAATGCTGCTTTCATTACATGGAAATATACAACTGAGTACTCTCAGATTGTTTAATGGTTTGAAATCTAAAAATAGGCTGTTTTTCCTGTTGGAAGGAGAATTTTGAAAAACTTTTCTTTTTCTTCAGTCGGCTTTGCTGCAGCCATTTTCCATCCTGGCCTAAAAAAACCAATGCTACCGTACACTGACTACATAATAAAAATTCTCTGCACTCTCGTCAAAGTATTGGCAGTGGTTTCCCCCCCCCCCTCCCCATGAATCAGTTGTTTGTTCCTCTGAATTCTGAAAAATTCTGCTTTCATTACATGGAAATATACAATTGGGTATTGCCTTATGGCCCGAACCTGAATGATTCAGTCTAGCCCGATCTCGGAAGCTAAGCAGGGTTGGTCCTGGTTAGTGTTTGAATGGGGGCCCCCCCCCCCCCGAGGAATTCCGGGGTTGCTATGGAGAGGCAGGCAATGGCAAAACAGCCTCCGAACATCTCTTGCCTTGAACATAAGAGATGCCAATGTTGGATCAGGCCAAAGGCCCATCCAGTCCAACACTCTGTATCACACAGTGGCCAGAAATACCAGTGCCATCCGGAGGTCCACCAGTGGGGCCAGGACATTAGAAGCCCTCCCACTCTCTCTCATTCGAGTGGCACAGGTAGAAGTGTTTAAACATGACAAGATACAGTGTTGCAATTGAAAACGTATTTTGAAGAAATCAAGCTATATGATATTGAGTACTGGGTCAGGTTCAAGGTTTTGGTTTTGACCTTTAAGGCCCTAAACGGTCAGGGACCAACATACCCGCAGGACCGCCTCTCTGGGTATGTCCCCTGGAGAGCATTGTGCTCAGGAGAACAACATCTGCTGGAAGTCCCTGGCCCCAAAAATGTCTGGCTGTGCTCAGCCAGAGGCAAGGCCTTCTTAGTCCTGGCTCCAGCTTGGTGGAACTCTCTGCCGAATGGCATCAGGGCCCCGCGGGACCTGTTACAGTTCCTCAGGGCCTGCAAGGCAGAGATGTTCCGTCAAGCATGTGGCCGAGGACAGCAACGGGGTTTTAATAGCAAATTGGCCAACTTGACTACTTCTCACCTTCCTCCGCCACCAACGGGGTGCAAGTTCATAATATGATGCCATATATATGTATATTAATTGTTGTTTTTAAAACCTTTGCATTTATTTGCATGTATAAATTGATGACTTGTTTTAATCCTTCTGTTGTGCACCACTCTAAGCCCGCTGCACAGGGAGGGCAGAATAATAATAATAATAATAATAATAATAATAATAATAATAATAATAATAATAATATTTCTGAATCGCCCAATCCCTGAGTACACAGAGCTCTCGGCAATTTACAACAGATTAAAACATACAAAAATACAGATTAAAATCAACAAACAGTTTATCTTAATTTCACAATCCCCAGACGGCGTCTATAATTTAACTTAAAAACCTCCTCTGGACTGTTCTTCCATCTCATGGGCAGGTTATTGGAGGAGACCGAAGCGGGCAGGGTAGGAGGGTGCCAGCCATGATGGAAACCATAAGAAAAATAGGGCTCACCAAAGAAACCCACTCTTCCATATCTTTAACACACTTAGTTGTATTATTATAACAAATTTCCTTATAACAAATTTCCTGTATTAACTAGCATTCATTCATTATATATGGAGTACACCTCACGAACGCCAGCGAAGCCAGCAAATAATATGAGTACAATACAAAACAATACAAAATCTTGATGCAGTCACTCCCGTTTTGGCCGAGCTCCTGGAATGTTTACTCTTTGAGACGTCCTGACGGAGCAGTAAAGTGTGCAAAGCAAACTGAGAAGTCCTCGTTATACGAGTTCCCGAACAGTGTTTATCACTCCTTCATTTGAAAACATGTAGTTCCAAGGAATGTAAGAGATAAAGAGAACACGCTTTCCTAGGATTAAACAGCGGCCTCGTACGTCCTCTTCAACTCCATCTCTCAGCCGGAGTTCGTCACCAATCTCCTGCCGTGGCACAAGGATCCGGGAGAGAGGCACGTGGGCGGGGTGGTCACATTCTAACGTCTTCCAGGTTGAGAAACACGTGGAGATTTCGGGTTGGATCCTGGGGAGGACAGGCACCTCAGTGGGGTATAAAGCCATAGGGTCCACCCCTCCCCCAAAGCATCCATTTTCTCCAGGGGAACTGATCTCTGTAGTCCAGAGATGAGCTGTAATTCCAGGGGGTCTCCAGGTCCCCCCTGGAGGCTGGCATCCCTTCCAGGCACAGATTGGATACCTAGCAGGGTCGATGAGACTTTCTTTGGTTCAGGAGTTCTTTTTGTTCGATTCTTGCAAGGAGGTCCAAGATTTCATGAGCCACATCTTTTACCGGGCTACGCCAGGCAAACTCTGCACTTTGCCAAAGCATTGGGAAAATACACCAAGTTTGAAAGGAAATAATTGCTATGTCCTTTTAGACCCTAGTGCCATGTTACTCCCGTCTCTGGCCCCAGCTCCTGCCAACCTAGCAGTTTGAAAGCAAGAAATTGCAAGTAGATAAATAGGTACCGCTTTGGTGGGAAGGCAACAGCGTTCCGTGCGCCTCGGCATTTAGTCATGCTGGTCACATGACCATGGAGAAGTCTTTGGACCAATGCTTCCTCTAAGCTGTGGAGTCCTGTGAGCAAAAATTCTACTTTGTGAGCTACTGGCATTAAAGTTGTGAGCAAGTGATTTGATTACTGCATAAATTAGTTTGCTCTGGAGCCGTCCTTCCTGAGCTAAGGCAAAAATGTGTGAGCCAGAGGCTAAAAAACTGTGAGCTAGCTCACACTCACTCAGCTTAGAGGGAACATGGCTTCAGACAGTGCTGGCCCTTCGGCTTGGAAACGGAAATGAGTACTGCCTGCTAGAGTCAGATTCGACTGGCTTTCGAGCAAGGGAAACCTTTACCTTTTACCTTTAATGGATAAAAATGGTCCTTACTTGGTTCGTTATAGTTTTAGCTCACTTTGCAGCCAAGATTGGCCCCCAAATACTTGCTCAGAGCCTTTTAGTAGACTAGATTTTAAAAAGTTAAGGTGGGGGGAAATGACTCGTATTCGGAAGTGTGAAGGGGAGTCGTAATTGACAGGTGAATGCAAAAAAAAAATCTTGGGGAGGGGTAAGGGTACTATATAATTTGCAGTCAAAGATGGAGAAGCTCTATCCAGTCAGTAAAAACAAGACCTGGAGCTGACTGTGGTTCAGATCATGAGCTACTCATTGCAAAATTCAGACTTAAACTGAAGAAAATCGGGAAAACCATGAGGCCATTCAGGTTTGACCTAGATCACATCCCTGATGAATATACAGTAGAGGTGAAGAATAGATTCAAGGGTCTGGATTTGATAGATAGAGTGCCTGAAGAACTATGGACGGAGGTTCGTGACATTGTACAGGAGGCAGCAATCACCACCATACCAAAGAAAAAGAAATGCAAGAAAGCAAAATGGCTTTCTGATGAGGCTTTACAAATAGCAGAGGAAAGAAGGAAAGCGAAAGGCAAAGGCGAAAAGGAAAGATTTACCCAACTGAACGCAGATTTCCAGAGAACAGCAAGGAGAGATAAGGAGGCCTTCCTGAATGAACAGTGCAAAGTAATAGAAGAAAACAATAGAATGGGAAGGACTAGAGATCTCTTCAAGAAAGTTGGAGAAATCAAGGGAGCGTTCCATGCAAAGCTGGCCATGATAAAGGACAAAAACGGTAGGGACCTAACAGAAGCAGAAGAGATTAGGAAAAGATGGCAAGAATACACAGAAGAACTATACAAGAAAGACCTCGATGTCCTTGACAACCACGACGGTATAATCACTGACCTCGAGCCAGACATCCTGGAATGTGAAGTTAAATGGGCCTTAGAAAGCATTGCTAACAACAAAGCTAGTGGAGGTGATGGTATTCCAGCTGAGCTATTCAAAGTCTTAGAAGATGATGCTGTTAAAGTGCTGCACTCCATTTGCCAGCAAATTTGGAAAACGCAACAGTGGCCACAGGATTGGAAAAGGTCAGTATACATTCCAATCCCAAAGAAGGGCAATGCCAAGGAATGTTCAAACTATCGCACAATTGCACTCATATCACACGCTAGCAAGGTCATGCTCAAGATCCTACAAGCTAGGCTTCAACAGTACGTGGATAGAGAACTACCAGAAGTACAAGCTGGGTTTCGAAGAGGTAGAGGAACTAGAGATCAAATTGCCAACATTCGCTGGATTATGGAGAAAGCAAGAGAGTACCAGAAAAATATCTACTTCTGCTTCATTGACTATGCTAAAGCTTTTGACTGTGTGGATCACAACAAACTATGGCAGGTCCTTAAAGAGATGGGAGTACCAGACCACCTCACATGTCTCTTGAGAAACCTGTATAAGGGCCAAGAAGCGACAGTTAGAACCGGATATGGAACAACTGATTGGTTCAGCATAGGAAAAGGAGTACGACAAGGATGTATATTGTCGCCTTGCTTATTTAATATATATGCAGAGTACATCATGCGAAATGCTGGCCTGGATGAATCACAAGCGGGAATTAAGATTGCTGGGGAAAAGATCAACAACCTCAGATATGCAGATGATACCACTCTAATGGCTGAAAGTGAAAAGGATCTAAAGAGCCTCTTGCTCAGAGTAAAAGAGGAGAGCGCAAAAGTGGGCTTGAAGCTCAACATCAAAAAAACTAAGATCATGGCATCCGGCCCCATCACTCCTTGGCAAATAGAAGGGGAAGCTGTGGAAGTAGTGACAGACTTCACGTTCCTGGGATCCCAGATCACCGCAGACTGTGACTGCAGCCATGAAATTAAAAGACGCCTGCTCCTTGGGAGGAAAGCGATGGCGAACCTAAACAGCATGATAAAAAGTAGAGACATCACCCTGCCAACAAAAGTCCGCATGGTCAAAGCAATGGTATTCCCAGTAGTCATGTATGGCTGTGAGAGTTGGACTATAAGGAAGGCCGAGCGCCGAAGAATAGATTCTTTTGAACTATGGTGCTGGAGAAGACTCTTGAGAGTCCCTTGGACTGCAAGAAGAACAAATCAGTCAATCCTCAAAGAAATCAACCCTGACTGTTCCCTGGAAGGCCAGATAATGAAACTGAAGCTCAAATACTTTGGCCACCAAATGAGAAGGGAGCACTCACTGGAAAAGACCCTGATGCTGGGAAAGATTGAAGGTCAAAGAAGACGGGGACGGCAAAGGATGAGATGGTTAGACAGTGTCAGCGATGCAACGAACATGAAATTGAGCCAACTTCGGAGGACGGCGGAAGACAGGAGAGCCTGGCGGGAGATTGTCCATGGGGTCGCGAAGAGTCGGACTCGACTGTGCGACTGAACAACAACAACAAAGGGTATTTTAGGAACGGCAGGAGCTGATTACAGTGGGAAGCAGGGATGATGACACACGGAGTGAGTAACACATAAAGATGGAAGCGGAGGAGCTCGGGAGGAGAAGGTTGAGCTAGCTCAGGGTAGGAGACAACTCAGGAGAGAACGGAAGACAGTGAGTGGATTGGGGGGGGGGGGTGCGGACAAAGGAATCTGAAATTTAATTTAAAAAACGGTAAGTCTGCCGGCAACTGAAAATCTCTCCCGAGTAAAATGCGCAAACCGTGCAGCTGTTCCCATTTCCCGAAAAGGTACAATTATTTTGCACCACAGTTCAAGTCAGCAAATATTTCCCCCTCCTCACTATAATTAACAGAAGCCGCCAGCGCTTTCCAAAAGATGAATAATGACTGACAGACAGACTTGCCAGATGATGTCAGTGACCATACGAGGTTTTAAATAGAATACCGTGCCCCTTTGTGTGCCGAGAGGGCTGGCACGGAGGATCTTCCGGGTGAGACGGCCCCACGTGTAAGCCTTCTTGCTCCATTAGAGAAGACTTTGGCTGGCAATCCGTCGGGGTTCCAGAGGCCTCTCTGCTGAAAAGAAACCACAAACTATGTTTTCCGTACAATCCGAGAAATTTGCCCTCAGTGTCTGTTCCCTTCTATCATTCCCAGATGCAGTACAGGGAAGAGTATCTGTATTTTGATAGTCGCATAGAAGGCTGCATTTCATAGCCGTGCGTAGATGGAAAAACTGAAGGGCCCCCGTCCCACAAATTGAATCCAGCAGCCCATCAGAGTCGGTCCTGTCAATCTTAGCATTCGCCCCAAAAAGCCTCAGAAAAGTCCATGCGGACAAGCATGTTTTGTATAACTGATTTCTAGATCTCAAGTGGTCTCCTGCTCCTGATATGCAAGCCTGTGAGATTTTGGACATATTGGCCCTGTGGATGTGTGAGAGCCATACCTTGACACCCATTAGGCCCGGAGGGCAGGGCAGGTATTCAGCGTGACTGCATACTTTGGTTTGGTGGAGTGGTGAGGAGTGTGCAGCCTCCAATCTGGGAGGATTGGGTTTGATCCCCCACTCCTCCACATGCAGCTGCTGGTGTGACCTTGGGTTAGTAACAAGTTCTCTCAGAGCTGTTCTCTCAAGAGGAGTCCTTGAAAGAGCTCTCTCAGCCCCACCTGCCCCATAGGGTGTCTGTTGTGGGGAAGGGAAGGGAAAGGAGATTGTAAGCTGCTCTGAGACTCCTTCAGGTAGTGAAGGGTGGGGTAGAAATCCAATCGCTTTCTCCTCCTTCAAAACTGGTGGCAGTGGAAATTGCAATCAAGTTGCAGCCAACTTGTGGTGACCTGTAGGGTTTTCAAGGCAAGAGATGTTCCAAGGTGGTTTGGCACTGACTGCCTCTCTGTAGCATCCCTGGACGTCCTGGATGGTCTCCCACCCAAATACTAACCATGGCCAACCCTGCTTAGCTTCTGAGAGCTGATGAGATTTTGCTAACCTGGGCTATCGAGTTCAGGGCGCTCCCAAACTATGCAACGGCAGTATGTTCAGCCAAACTGACTCTTCACCTACCCCATTTGGGTTTTTTTTCCCCTTTCCTCCATAGCGGGTCCGTGAGAATTCAAGCAGAGTGATCATGCTGTGCCCTAGGCACACCCCCCCCCCCGTTTCACTGTAATTACATCGATGTGGGTTCAGAGTTCACTGTTTCTGCTGCATCCAGCAATCTCGTACCTGATGCAGCTGCCTAACCTGCCACGGCTACGGGAGCAGAAAGCTAAAGAAACAGCATGCTATTAGTGGCGGGGGAGGAAACGAGTTTGTTTCAGCAGATTACTACTGATGTTGTTCTGTTTTGTGTGTGTGTGTTTGCTTCCTCCTTTCTTTAGAGCAGACAAGATAACCGCTGAAAACACACCGCCTCGTGAGGTGAATAACATTGCAAACCACCGAGTGCTAATTAAACCAGAGGCACAGAATAATCAGCGTAACAAAGAAGTGAGCAAAATGGATGATAAAAAGGCCTTGGAAGCCGAAAAATACGGCTTCCAGAAAGTTGGGCGCGACAGACCCTTGACCAAAATCAGCAGCGTGAAGCAGAATTCCTTGGGGTCGGAGTACGGGACTTTGCCCATCAGCACAGTCCCGTCAGGACACTACAGGCCAGTTCATCTAAATGGGTCAGAGAAAGCCGTCAACCTGGTTCTGTCAGACTCCGGAGACGGGCTCCATCACAGCTCCATTCACTCGCACATAGAGTCTGAGCGCGTCATACAGAGGACGAATTCGATGCTGCAGTTGGAACAGTGGATTAAAATACAGAGAGGAAAAGGTCAAGAGGAAGAAACGAGAGGGTAAGTGACTTGAGGTGTATCAGAACAAAGACTGTCAGGGGCGGCCAAAGTTGCTCAGCATCAGAGCCACCTAGAAACACTGAATAATTATTATACCCACATTTTTATTTTAAAATATGCAAATTTTATTTTTTATTAACGTTAAATGAGACTGCCAAACATAAAAACAAAAGGGGTAAAAACAGATATTGATAATGATATTTATTTGTTTGCTAATGATATTTATTTCTCTAAGAGAGAGAGAAAAAGAGAGGTGGAAAGAAAGAATGAAAGAGGTGGAGAGAGAGAGAGAGAGAAACAAAGAAAGCAAATAGATGGGAGGGAGGGAGAAAAAGCGTGCCTCCCCTTCGCTTCCCCAGCCGCCTTGCCGGGAGCCGCACAATGTGTGTGAATGAGCCGCATGTGACTCCCGAGCCACAGTTTGGCCACCCCTGATCCAGTGGCACCTTTAAGACCAACAAAGTTTAATTCTGGGTATCAGCTTTCGGGGGCTTTGCACACTTCTTCAGACACTTACCTGACCCGTCGGCTAATCTTACAACTTGGCTTCTTCAACACGCGCGACAATGAATCAGTTTTATGTGGCTTTTAACATCCCAGTCAGGTTTTGAAGGCAAGCCGTGAATAATCAGGTTTTAGGCCTTTTTACATTTGCATGGAAGTAATCCCAATTATGACTTGCCTTCTGCTCCACTACTGCTTATTTATTGAGAACATTTTTATGCCATCTCTCTCCAGCAAGCTCCTTGAAGAGCCTTAGAATTAAGACAAAAAAACAAAGCCAGTATCACAGAGCCAGTTTGGTGTAGTGGTTAAGTGCGCGGACTCTAATCTGAGAGAACCGGGTTTGATTCCCCACTCCTCCACTTGCACCTGCTGGATGATCTTGGGCAAGCCATAGTTCTGTCGGAGCTGTTCCTGAAAAAGAGCAGTTTCTGTCAGAGCTCTCTCAGCCCCACCTACCTCACAGGGTGTCTGTTGTGGGGAGGGGAGGGGAAAGGAGTTTGGAAGCTGCTCTGAGACTCCTTCAGGTAGTGAAGGGCGGGGTATAAATCCAATCTCTTCTCTTCTTCTAAAACAGCCCGGCCATAACAGCGCAGAAAACACAATGAGCAGTCTTAAATGTGGCAGATAAGTTGCCCGGAAAACATTTTAGAGGTAAAACCACTTAGTTAAAAGCTTGGGTAAAAAAAAAAAAAGAATGTTTTAGCCTGGTACCTAAAGACAAGCCTCACAGGGGGAGAGCATTCCAAAGGCAAGGCACCATCCCTCTTGGCCCTAGTCAGTATTTGGATGGGAGACTACCAAGGAATACCAGGGTCGTGATGTGGAGGCAGGTGATGGCAAATCACCTCTGAACATCTCTTGCCTTGAAAAAGAAGGAGAGGAGATTGGATTTATACCCCACCCTTCATTCGGAGTCTCAGAGCAGTTTACAATCTCCTTTTCCTTCCCCTCCCCACAACAGACACCCTGTGAGGTAGGTGGGGCTGAGAGAGCTCTTTCAAGGACAACTCTTGAGAGAACAGCTCTGAGAGAACTTGTGACTGACCCCAGGTCACCCAGGTCACTGCATGTGGAAGCGTGGGGAATCAAACCGGGTTCTCCCGGATTAGAGTCCGTGCTCTTAACCCACTACACCAAACCCCACCAGGGGTCGCCATAAGTCAGCTGTGACTTGAAAGCAAAAAAAAAGAGAGGACATCTTAATATGTTAAAAGAAAGATAGTTCTGTTATTATTGTTGGCAGAGTTCAGGAAATAATCCAATCCACCCTTTGGAGTTTGCTTTGAATGAATTTGCTGCAACAGGATTGTGCAAAAAGGCAGTAACTGACTTCAGGCCATTAATGCCACAGAGAGGCCTTCAGAGCACAAGCACTAACACAGATTAACCCACAGCAGAGAAGCAACAAGCGGTCGGCTGAACTGCAAGAGAAAAACATTTAATAAGCTCTAAACACTAGAGAATGCACCACAGCTCCCCCCCTAGGGTACAAGTGGACTAAACCACTCTTTCAGCAGTATTTACCGTGACTAGACTCTTAGCAGGCTGTTGCTTCTGCAACAATTATAAGAGGCAGTGCTTGAGTAAGTTATGTGCTCTACATGTAGAACGTAGAAGAAGAGGAGATTGGATTTATACCCCACCCTTCACTACCCAAAGGAGTCTCAGAGCAGCTTACAAACTCCTTTCCCTTCCCCTCCCCACAACAGACGGCCTGTGAGGTAGGTGGGGCTGAGAGAGCTCTGACTAGGCCTGCCAAATCTCGCCAAATCGAGGCGGGGGATATGCATGTCTTTGCAGAATCCTTGCTGCGGGGACGACGAGACGCGTTGCACCACTGTTGCCGACGGCGGGTGCAACGCGTCTCGCTGTCCCCGCGGCAAGGATTCTGTGAAGACCTACGATCCCCTGCCCCGACTTGGCAACCCTAGCTCTGACAGAAACTGCTCTTTTTCAAGAAGAAGAGAGAGAAGAGATGGGATTTATACTCTGCCCTTCACTACCCAAAGGAGTCTCAGAGTGGCTTACAAACTCCTTTCCCTTCCCCTCCCCACAACAGACACCCTGTGAGGTAGGTGGGGCTGAAAGAGCTCTGACAGAAACTGCTCTTTTTCAAGAAGAAGAGACAGAAGTGATGGGGTTTCTACCCCACCCTTCACTACCCAAAGGAGTCTCAGAGTAGCTTACAAACTCCTTTCCTTTCCCCCCCCACAACAGACCCCCTGTGAGGTAGGTGGGGCTGAGAGAGCTCTTGACAGAAACTGCTCTTTTTCAAGGACAGCTCTTATCAGAACTACAGCTTGCCCAGGGTCACACCAGCAGCTGCATGTGGAGGAGTGGGGAATCAAACCCGGTTCTCCAAGATTAGAATCCGGTTCTCCAAGATTAGAATCCGCACACTTAACCACTACACCAAACTGGGACCACACTCAATCCTTTCTATCTTCCTGGACTACACATGAAGCATTTACTCCTTGGGACTAGAGACTGTGGATTTCTTTAACATCTGTATTTTTTTTCCTCCCTGGGGTCTACAGAAATAAATGCAAAGCATCTTGAAGATGCCAGCAGTGTATTTCCCATCCACACGGAGACAGATTTTAATTCTGTCTCAGAATGATTGACGCTATTAAGTCTAGTGAGGCTGAGGATGTTGGTTCTGCATGACAGAAGCAGAACAGCGGTGCCGCTTCCAAAACACCTTGGCTGAAATCTAAACACGGGCGCCTCGTACTTACGGCTTAGATTTTTATTATAAAACGCCATCCCAGTAATTCACTTCAAATGAAACTTTTTATGGAGTAACGTCACTGCAGAGAGTTGTGAAGAGTTCGAAATTACAGGCTTCACTTGGCTGGCGAGTACAGAGGGAGGAGGGTGTGGATTGATTTGCATTCGCCATTTTCATGGCTTCACTACATCAGAGCTGCCTTGGAAGAATACTCCTGTTGATCAGGTACCAGTCGATCAGTGAATTCACTGAAATTGTTCCAAATGGAATTAGTCGCTTAGGTTGTTCCAAGGAGGTCTGAATTAAATTGTGTCCACAACGGATTCAGCCCTATTTTCTTAAGGTATTGGGTAAGGTAAACCAAGCCTTGGACATTATGTGATTTTTTTTTTTGCATGATATGCATGTTTCTTAGAATCATAGAGCTGGAAGGTACCTCCAAGGTCATCTAGTCCAAACCCTTGCACAATGCAGGAAATTCACAAATGCCTCCCCCCTCCATCCCCAGTGACCGCTGTTCCATGCCCAGAAGATCACAAAAAACCTCCAGGTTCCCTGGCCAAACTGGCCTGAAGAAAAATTGCTTCCTGATCCCAAAGTGGCAGGAAGCAATTTTTCTCCAGGCCAGTTCCTTTCTCCTCCCCATTCTAATAGATGTACTAGGATCCCCTAACCCCATTTTTAATGGGGTGGTTATTCTAGATGTAGTGTGTATTGGTTTGATAAGTGGCATGTGGTGCTGGAAAGTGCCGTCAGGTTACAGTCATCTTATGGCAACCCCATCGGGTTTTCAAGACAAGAGTAATTAGGGGTGTGCAGGAAATATTTTTTTCCCGGATTTGGGTATAATAAAGCTGAATTTTTTCGAGATTCCCAAATATACCCAAATACCAATACCGGTATTCTATTGGTACCGCAAAATTTTCAGTATTCCCGAAATTTTTCGTCTCCATTATATCCTATGGGGCCATTGTAGTCAATGGCAAAAATCTTCTAACAAGTATTCAGGGAGCTGGTGGGGGAGGGGGTTTGAGGTAGAGGCACCAAATTTGTAGTGTACCTGCTGGAGCCTCTCCCCAAAAGACCCCCCAAGTTTGGAAAAGATTGGACCAGGGAGGTCCAATTCTAGGGGCATCCAAAGAGGGTGCCCCCAGTCCTCCATTGTTTCCTATGGGTATGGGGGGGAAATTCGGGTTTTTTTCAGCATTCAGTATTCGGCAGCCGAATCAGCTCAGGGGGTCTGATTTGGTATTCCAGTTACCCGAAAAATGCCAGAAAAGTGTTTTTCGGGTTTGTTTTTTTTCAGTTCGGCTTTACCGAATGCACACCCCTAAAAGACATCAAGAGGTAGTTTACAATTGCCTGCCTCCACGTAGCAACCCTAAGACTTCCTTGCTGTCACCCATCCAAGTATTAAGACCGACCCTGCTTAGCTTCTGAGATCTGACAAGATCAGGCTGGTCTGGACAACATACAATTGCGTCTTGGGACAACATTCGATTAAAAAGCTGTTTCTGTAAGGAATTGCTCTACTCCATCATATTTTAGAATTTTTTTAAAGCAAAAGACCTGTTTGTTTATTTACTTTATTTATAGCTCACCTTTCTTAGTGAGACTTAAGGCAGATCACATGGAATAAAACAATGCAATCAAATAGCATGAGACAGCTAAAACAAAGACCAGGTTGTATTAGTGAAGACTGCTAAAATGCATGTAGCCCTTTGTTAAGTTTTTAACACAGGGGTGTCAAACATAAGGCCCT